ATATATATAAAGGCCATGCTTTGAGGACAGGGTTTAATTCAAAGGACTAAAGCCATGAGTAAACTGAGTAACACTCTATTCTTCTATTGTTAGGGCTGACAAGAATCGGCTACTGAACCTTTGAAGCAAGGAAAAGTTGTGCAATATCCTACAGTACAGCACACTCTTGTTCAGTCAGCAGCTGGAGGTAAATTTATGTCCAAAACAGAACAAGGTACTGCTCAGTTTCAGGCAGAAAAGTTCAGGGACTAAATTACTGCCCACTTGATTGCTGATCTGTGTAACACCTCAGAGTAATAATGCAAAAACACAAAGGATTGACAATGTGCTTTGTTTTTCTTACACACTTTTACAAGCTACTTAGCTCTTCTGGCTTTCTAAAAGTCTTTGCTGTTTTTATTCATTTAATTAGATAAGATTAGATTTTATGTCAGCAAAATTGTCATCTTTGGTATTGTTGGAAAATTGTGTTTTTCTGACAGGCTGCAAGGAAGTAAATGACAAAACGTTACATTTTAAAGTTATTTGATGAGTTGTTTATTATGTCTTGAAACAACCCAAACACTTTTCTGAATTTAAAAGTCTCTTGTCTGAATAAAAGTCCTCTGAAAAGGGTGAGGTACCAAACTAAAATTAGCCTATACTTAAATGTGTATCCATACACTAAGCAGCGAAACGTACTAAACGATTGATCATTTTATGAATACTCTGTCATGGTTCAAATATTGTACATCAGAAACCAGTGACAGCTTTACTATGTGAGAGGCTGAAAGGAACACAATGTGAGAGTGGAACAAAAAGGTTTATCATGTTGAGTAAGCTCTAAAGTGTTTATAGCATTTGCTAGTTCAGTTTAACAAACAAGTTTCATAACGTGCCAACTTAGCAGCAGTCATGTAGTAACTTTATTTATAAACTACTACAGATAGCCAGGCTCAGTATCACAAATCTACAAGTGCAATCTTACAGCAAGTTGAAGTTCCTAACACATTCTGTTCAGTATTTTAAACATATTTTAAGACAGCTGAAGCCAAAAAGAGACATGACGGGAAATACTTTGACTTCTTACGTCTTCGATTGTTCAACAGAAGAGCTGTCAAACTAGCTTAGCTGGCTAGGCTAAAAACTACATAATTAGCTTATCAGCTAAGCGAGTTAGCTCGCACCGTCGGAAAACAGCACAAGAACAACACGTTGAGTCACATAACATTACGGTAAATGCAACGGCAGGCAAATGCGGAGTGCAAAAGAGAAAAACACATGAATGTGTCCAAAAAATAAGCGATATTCTTAAGAGTGGTAAACGGCGTTTGTAAAAGTTAGCTGACTTGCTATTAGCTTTCAAGTTAGCTAACTTGTTGGAGTGACGTCAAAGTTTTGGGTACGTGTCTCTTTCAAACAGGTACATAAAGGCAAAAAAATTACACCAAATATTTTAGGTAAAGTCCGGGGATACTCACGCTTTGTCGACCAACTCCCTAACTTTCCACATGTTCAGCATCTTCTGAAAAGGTGCTTTCTGCCTCGGCAAAACCCTTTTGCTCCCGACGGACACCGAAACCAAACCTTGAACTCTGAAAAGTAAACTATTCCTCACCTCCCTTTCAAGACAGGAGGCGCAAACGCACCACCAGGCAGACAGGAAAGGTTACTGTGAAAAATGCCCTTGTAACGTCATCGGCGCGCCCAAAGGCAGTCTGGGAGTTGTAGTTTTTATCTCGCGTTGACTGAATAGTTTCATTTAATCACTGTAAACTGATAATTGAACAAACAATTTTTAATTATATTATATTATACAGTCTTATACGTTTAAAGCTATTATGATGCACACACAGTGAGAGGTCTCCACTGCCTGAAATTTAGTTTGATTCTAACTGGATCAGTATAAAAGTCAGTCATTTTGATAGCTTAAGCGCTATTCAACTGGCGGCCCGCGGGCCGGATGTGGCCCGCGAGTGACCAAAATGTGGCCCGCCAATTGGTTCATTAATCTCTTAAGTCCAAACCCCGGGTTTCTACTTTAATTAGCCTACTTTAAGTTCTTTTAGCTAGACATAGACATGTTTGGTGTGTGCAGAAACGTCAGAATCGTGGCTAGAATCTGGTAAAAACTATTTCTATGAATATCTAGGACAGGTAAAACTACAAGCAGTTGAAGATAAAACTATGAAAGTTAAAATAACATTGGTTTAAAAAATTTGACAAGTCAAATATGTCAAAGTAATATTTGTGTTAAATAGGAGGCAGAATGTGTTATTTTTGTTTTTGCTATTGTTTTACTATCACTACATTTATTGCATAGTTTCTGTATGTTGTATTCATGATTAAATGCAGCAAAATAAACTATGATTTTAACTGCTGGATGTTCAGCCCCTGTGCCGTTGTTCTGCATTAACTGTGGCCCCCAGAGCAATTTAGTCGAATAGTCCTGGATCACAACTTCCAAAGGAYTAAAATGGTGCACGAAATGCGAAACCAAGCAGAATGAGCAGACTTTGAAAATGTTTAAACATTTATTATGAAAAAGCCTATCTAAAGGTAAAGCTGGTAAATCAAAATGAATTTGGAATTTGATGCCAGCACAACATAAAAATTATTGTGAAAGAAAAATATGTTATATATTTTTTCCAAGTGATTAAGATTTATTATGTTCAGAAGGGTCCCTCCTTTTGAGAAAATGGGAGAATCCTTTAATAAACCTATTTATTTGTTTCCATTTTAAAAAGTGGAACTATTTGCAGTATTTTTTCTGCTGTCGTTAGTATTATTTTTAAGTTCAGATCATGATTAAATTCCAGTTTACTGGAAACAGTTCCTTTACACCACCCTAAAACCTGTCCCTTCTCTGTCCAACTCAGAACCACAACCTCCATCACAGGGTCACCACCCTCCATCCTTTCCTCATCTGGCATTCAGGCATGCTACAGTGACCCAGTGATGCTGTGTGACAGGCCGGGCAGGGCGCTTGCTGTTTCTGTCAATCCAGATCAATCACTCCCTCTTCGGGACCCACGACGTCATCAACGTGCATGAAAGGTCACGGAGTGTGCTCAAGCCAGGCCTGATGTCACAACCGGGGAGGTCAGCGCCGCAGCCGTCGAACGGCTGAGTGTCATTTTAGATTCCTATGCTTGGCTTGTAAATACGATCAATTGATGCTCCATGGAAGAAATACATCTCTAGCTGTGGTCATCTTGTTTATTTATTTATTAGTCTTCCAGTGACTGGGTGTGTGCAAAAGGAATTAAGACTCTTTGTTATATTGACTGGTAATCCAGGGGGGTGACATAAAGCCCTGGGGTGCCCTACACTTGACAAGGTTTCTGTTTTCTAATGATACATGTAAATACGGCCCATTGCTTACACTTCTATAGGAGAGAAGAAAGAAACAACACAATAGCCAAAATACAAGCCATTTGAGGGGGTAAAAAACAACAAGAAACAGCACTTAACGGCCCAGAATGCACTGCACCCAGGGGAGCAACCTCAATTACTGTTACACGTCCGAAAAGAACTCTAGGAGAAGTGATTGCTTAGATGGAAATGGCTGTGTGTGTGTGCGTGTGTGTGCATGTGTGAGTGTTTTTTTTTCTTTTTTGTTTTGTTTTGTGCATTTCTGTTTTTTTTTCTGTGGGTGTCGGCTGGAAGAGGATGGATAGAAAGGCACTCAGTTAAAAGATCTTTCAGGAACACTTTGCCTCGGTGACGTTGACGCGAGCTGTTGATTGACGTGCACTTCTCGACAGAAACCAGARCTATCAACGTATCTGCTGCGCATTAGGGATGGCACGGTCCTCGGGGAGGGGCCTAAGTGGTAAATGATGTTGCTCAAGACACTCTCTGTCAACAACGTGTGTGTGTCTGTGAGTATGTGAGTGCTGAGGATGGCAAAGCATTCAATCAAAGCTCTGATTGAAAAAACCCCTGGTGTCCTTAAAGATCAGAATTCTGAAGACTGATGTGTGGGATGTGTTTTTGTGTGTGTGTGTGTGTGTGTGTGTGTGTGTGTGTGTGTGTGTGTGTG